ACAATAGTGGGTCACATCACTGTATAATTTTAAAGTCACGGTATTAAATTTGAATTCAATGATACAATATCATTGTACAAGAAAAACGATTCTGAGCGGAGACGGTATGTCAGTCTAGGTATAAGACATATTATATATTATCTATGGCAGCGGTTCTCAACCTGTGGTACGCGTACCACTAGTGGTACGCGGAGAGCTCATAGGTGGTACGCGAAGAAAATCTTCCTTTATAAAAAAAATTGGTACGAATTATTATTAACATTAAATATTATTTGGTTTATTTAATGTTTATTTGATGGTGTGGAGGTCGTTTGTAATCGTAGCAATTAAGATAACGATATTCTCTTTAATATAATATAAATCGATAAACTGTATCGGATAAGCCCGACAAAGCGTAGGTATTCTTATTTCACAATTATGTGTTTTTACCTTAGTTTCGTGAGTTCCTTTGGTTTATTCATGAGTAGAATACGCGTTGTTTGCATCAAGTGTATTTTGTATTAAAATTTTATATTTTTATGTTGTTTTTTCGTACTTTTTTTTGATATAAAATTTAGTAAAATGAAAAGATTTTTAGAAAGCGAAAGCGCAAATACTAAAAAACAGAAAACACAGGCGAATCGTAAATATGACGATAGTTACTTACAATTTGGATTCGTTGTAAAATTTGGTTCTGAAAATTCTACTCCGTTACCTCAATGTGTAATTTGTCAAGAAACACTTTCAAATCAAAGCATGAAGCCATCGCTACTTAAGCGCCACCAATTATCGAAGCATCCAGAAACAGAAAATAAACCCATTGAATTTTTTTCATTTTTTTCATTGAAATAAAAAGTAAACCATAACAATTATAATAATTTTACATATTAAATTTTTTTTTTATTTTTAAGTTATTTTCTTTCTGTGCATTACTCAATTAAATACTTTATTTTTTATTATATATTTTATATTATCTCATTTTGTAATTCCTAATGAAATAAAATTCTATAGATACATATAACATAAACGTATATACATTATTAATTAGAAAAAAAAAAAATAGGTCAGGTGGTACGTAAAATTTTTCAAATTGTGTAAGTGGTACGCGACTATAAAAAGGTTGAGAACCGCTGATCTATGGTATTAAAGAAAATTGATCTATAATAGGTACCTATAATAAATTCCAAATTAACCATATCACAATATCCATTAGGTACCTACTTATAACGTGTTATACATCAACAACAAACCCTGATACTATCATAGATAATATATAATAGTTAACTTTAGAAGTTTCAAGTACCCATGAATAATATTATACAATCACAACAAAATAACTAAAATAGTTATTCTAGATTTTTTAATATGTAATTTCGTCCAAATTGAACTTAAAATTTCTATAAAAATAAACTACGACTATGTATTTTTTAGATTTTTCGGTAACAGAATTAACTACTTAGGTGGAATCTAGTTTTAAATTTTCAATCCTTAGATACAAAAGTTGAACATTTTATAAATTTTTAACTACAAAATAATTATTCAATAATGGGCACCGAAACTAATTTACATTACCAACTCAGGCCAATCCTATTATAATACACCATCAAAAGTCAAACCCTCGGTCGTATAATGGATGACAGTACAAAAAAATTTTTATTTAAAAGTTTTTACGCAATTGTTTACGTCGTATGTCATCTACTACATTGTCGTTCTGAACAATAAACATACCTATTAATATAAACTTCAATCGGAGTTCAATTATGATATAGGTATTACAACCATATGAGTTAGGTACATGAATAATAACAGAATGAGACAATTTGAGAATATAATAAATATTTAAACTTGACCATCCGTTTCCAGTATACAGTACAATGGTCATAGTAGCAGTAAATTGTTGCAACTTGCAATAAACAGATTAAAAATAAAAATAAATAGTAGGTAGGTACATTATTGTGGTGTTGAAGTATACATTTTTGAAAAATAGATATATTAATACTGTTACGTTCTTTTCATCTTTAAATTTCACAATAGTAAAATAACAACATTTATATTATTTCTGCAGAGTAAGTATAAAATTCCGTGTAAATACAAACATTTTATAAAATCAATAAGGTGATATTGATTCCGATTAAAAAAAAAAAGACCAAAAATTACCTATTTCTTAAGAGTTCCACCCTGTACAAGTTATACAATTTAAATAAAATATGTTATTTAATTGAAAAACAATAGTCAAGAATCAGGATATAACACATAAATATATAATACTAGCTGTTCCCAAGAACTTTGTCGTCCGTAAAAATGGCAGCTCTTAAAAAAACATTATGATTGTTCAACTCCTTTTAGGTTTAACTCAGCCGGCGGTAGACTACTTCGTATCGCGGAAAATGTGCGACAACATGTCAAGTACCTAGGTAATATTAGCGAACATTTGATTTGGTGCATCCTGCACCTGATCTATATAGCTATATACATTATATTATATTTTATATTATATTATATTATATTCTACATTATATTTTTGATATTTCACATACAGATATTTTGTTTGAAAATTAAAATTTCAAAAAATCAGCAATGCTTAAGCACACATAATGTTTTTACCTAAAAGATTTATAATAGGTTCACTCTAGTATCAAAACTAATAGCACACTATTGAAACTAGTGAACGGCAATTTGCTATGCCGTGCGTGTGTAAGACGGAGACAACAAATGTATAGGTAGAGTCCTCTTAAGAGTAGTAATTTTTATTTCTGGTAATACATTTTCAACGCATTTTTTAGAGCATTAAGTCCAATCCCTAATTATTTTATACAATAGTATGGCAATTGTCTGGTATACAATATGTTTATATACATTATAATAATATAATTTATAGTGCTTGTACACTGTACAGTATATATATTTTATGAGTATTATATACTTAGTATTTCAAGATTAATTTTATTATAGTATAAAATAATGTTAACATCAGACCACGTGATAAATTTGTATATTTGTAGGTATGTGAATGCATGGTATATTGATATTCATATTTAATACTGAAAACGGCTCATCACTCACAATACGACAATCCCATTACGCGTTACACTACACCTTGGAGAAATTAATTTGGGGTAATAGTGTTAAATGTATAATGTTATCTCTATTACACATATGTATAAATATAATAATATGCATTATGCAGTGTTAACCTAACCTATATACACATAGGTTGTAATAGCTCTACCAGAATAATATTATATTAAATAATACTCGACTGTGGGAGTGACCACCACACCGAAGTCTGCACCAAATCCAAAACCAGTCCAGCAAAATGCATGGGTAATCACCAGGGCTCGGAAGTTGTGGCAAATTCATATTTTTTTGGTTTGTCCTAGAACACCCAAAGTAAGATACAAATATGTTTCACACTTATCTGATGTCATACACGAAATTTTATTTTGCCATTTTTTGCATATTTATGATTTTTATTGCTATTTTGCCATTTTAAGGTTTTTAGTGCTATTTTTGGGTATATTATCAGATAATTTGGAAAATAACCACATTTAGTTGAAAATAATGATTTTATTTGGTTATATTTTTAAATTTTATTTGGTTATATTTTTTATAATTATATAACAGTATAGAAATTGGCAAATGTAATAACTAATTATTAATAAATAATAACGTTGTACCTTATAGGTCTTCAATTCATATTATTATTGTAATATTTTAATCTATATCATATTGTAATGTTAAATTTTGTACTTGTAAAATTTTGTAATTGTCGAGCTATCATAGTTTTAACTAGGAGCAAATAAAAATAAAAATAAAAATAAAAATAAAAATAATACTCGACAGTTAATTATTTAAATAATTAAAACGGGAACTTTTACTATAGTTTTTCCTAACTATAGTGTAAACTACATGATAATATTTTTCACATCGTATATTATAATTATTTAATAAGTTAAAAATATTTTTTTTCTTTGACTAAAATAATAAACTGTATTTATTATATAATAGCACAGTATAATATTATGTTGTATTTGAATCGAGCTGAACTAAAAATGTCCAATCATTATAGTCATATTATACCTAATATATAATAATATAGTTCTTGAACAAAGTACATTTTTATAAATAATTTTATTATTATAATACAGACAGGGTACAGAAAAAAAATATGTGGAGAATCGGAGAAAAACTGTTGGTCATCGACACCGGATTCATTAAGTCTAACCAATATCTAAAGTAAAAGCACGCTTCGTCTGCTTGGTGTGCCAAATGCCATGAAAAACAAATGCCGAATGGCATAATAAACAAAAAATATATAATATATATATATATATACTATCCAACACTGATTAGTTTTTCCTCCGTATAATAATAATAATAGTAATAGTGTGGCAATATTATTTAGGGGTTGGACTTAGGGGCCATGTATTATTGCAATAAAAAAATATTCTTAAACAAATAATTTTTTATTATTCATAATACATTAGTCACTCGATAATTATTATTCATTAATACAGTAGTCACTCGATAATTCGAAATTCAGGGGACCGAGTTAAAAATTCGATTTATAGAGGTTTTCGATTTACCGAGTGTTCGAATAATCGAGGGAAAAAAAGTAACTCGAATTAAAAAGAGTTCGAAAATTGTATATACATATATTATGTATTGTACATATGTATTACGTTTATTTTGACATATATACTTATTATAAATATTATTATGTATATTTTAAAATTATTAATTTACATTTATTTATTACACATATATATTATTATATTTTACATTTATTTTTAATATTATTATATTTTACATACATATTACATATTATTAAAGAAATGTATATTTTTTTTTGTGAAAAATTGTTGGTCGCAATCTGGTAAATAGCGTTGTCTAACTTACTGATAGCATTGAAAATTGTATCGCATTTTTTTTCGCCCATTTCAGATTGTTCAAAAAATTTACGTAATCCTGACAAAAAAATGTTGCTTCTTTTAACGATATGACAGGAACCTCCGATTCCTCTAATCGTCATTATTGTTAGAATTGTGCTGATTGACTGAAGTAGATTGAATAATTTCCTCGTCAGTAAAATTACCAGCAGTTGAGACATTATCGTCAAAGTGAACAAATTCTTCAAATGATACGGGAAATTCTAGTCTGTTCCATGTGCTAAGCAGAACTTCAACCTCCTCACATTGAACAGGAATACCTTCATATTGTTGAAAGCGTAGAAGCTGGGATTCTAAAACGTAGAGCAACATTTTTTTTTCACCTGCTGCGATCATTTTTTTTTTGTCGGCTATCGACAAACACTTGTATTTTACAGGACCAATATTGCGACTGACTACGTTTTATTCAATTTCAATAACGGTTTACCCATAGCAGAGGTTTATTTTGGTATTATACATTAAACTACGATAATATTTAACCATCGTCGTTTTTAGTTTCATTACGAGTACGTTAAATAGATTGCCCATAATCTTTATACATATGAACGTACCTACATATAATCGTGTTTAAAGTAATTCGAGTTATTGAGATTCGTGAAAAAAAAATTCGAACTGTAGAGTGTGCCTCACCGACAGACATACTGTAATTACAAACATATACTAAATAAATGCAATTAAATACCCACCTATATTTATTTTGAATTCAAGCAAACAAGTTGTTAATATTATTGTACCATTTTCGCTTTAAGATTATGACTGATACTTATAAGTTATAAGTTATAAGTTATAACTAATAACATAACAGGTATATGAACTTTTCATGAACATAAAAAATATGAGAAATTAAATGATGAATACAAATTTGTTATTTTCCAAAATAAATGTATTTTCCTTGCAGCTTATTCAATAGTTTTCTAAAAAAAGACCATAACAAAATATGTAAAGAGTTCCAATTTTAATTTAAAATTATTACTTATTACCATTCTTTTTTTTTCCCCTGAATAAATAGGCAAAATACTAAAGAATTCGATTACATTATTTTACAGATATTTTAAAAGCACATTAATATAGTAAACATTATAAACAATTATTAACTTCTAATATGCATGTAAAATACGTTTTGAATAAATGCGGTATTTTCGTTGAAGACATAATCCAAATTAAAATAATAGTACCTATTAAATTCTTAAATACCTTTCGATAATATACGTATATCTTTAAATCATTGATTAAAAGTCCTGTTAACTGGTGTAATTAACAGAAATATTCCATATATTTTGGTCTTTAGACTTTTATAGGTACCTATAATATGTATTTAATACTATTCATTTATATTTTTATAACCCGCACAATATACAATTGAATGTTAACTGATTTGACATTCCACTCATGTAATATTTTAAAATTATACAGACATGACCTGTAATACACAAGCCAAAAATACTTTTTATACTATAACTTGTACGTCATAATAATGTTTTATAATTTTCTGAGTGGATAAATAAAAGTGTACACAAATTTAGTCATAAAAGTAGGTATTCTTAATTGTCCACTAATCTATCTAATATTTATGTTAAATTACAGCAGAAATCCATAGCCCATAGTTATTTCATGTAATTGGTACCGCATATATAGCAATTTAGCTAAATAGTAAATAGGTGCTCTTGTTTTAATAATACTTTTCTAATGTATTCAGAATACGTATTTAATTACTTTGTGTCATTTGTACCTATTTGAAATATGTATTTAATACTGTGTTTCAAAAGTATATATTACTTTACTATTATTAGTACCAATATTACAATTTACAAATACAAATTAAAAGTAGGTATTAGAAAATACTTTAAAAGTACTTTTTTGTAATATATTAATATTATTGTAATTTAATCAAAAATGTATACTTAGAATTATTATTAAATAGGTACATTATTTAATTTAATTGGTTCAATAATTTAAAATGTCACATGCATATTATATTGCCTGGTTAAGTAATACCTATATATTATGTAAATTTAGAATCGGGATTTGTATTTATATTTTATTTGTATTTCTTCTTCGTTTACATATCTAATTTCGTCCAAATGTATATTTATTTTTTAGATATTTCGGGTACAGAATAACCTACTTATGTGGAACTTTCTTTTAAATTTTCAATACTCAGCTATACAAAGTCATCCTTTTATAAATGTTAAACCTCATCAATTTCATTTTTAAATTTGAAATTTGATAAATTTGAAAATTCGAACTTCAAATGCTTAAAAAAATTGTGCCTATCTGTTTTTAACATTTTTCAACTGATGTTGTAACAATATATCAAAAGCCTTGTATTAATTTTTCACACGTTTTGAACACACAAAAAAATTCATTTTGACATTTATGAAAATTGTATATTGTATAGAAAATACTAATATGAACATTATTCAGTGGAAATTGCATGTGCCTATAGTTATTCGTTTTTGAATTACAACAAAATAAGAAAATCGGTACATGAGAAATCGTTATTTATTTATATATTATGGGCGTCCGGTATTACACTTTTTACTTTTTTGTTAAAATATACATTCAAATTTAACCGTCTACTGACAAGTTTTTAACTCTCATAAAGTTTAATTTTGATGGTACTTAATTAAATGTAACGTAATTTGTAATAAGTTATGGTCAAAAAACTTAAAAATGATCTTGGTTTTTTGGAATTTATTTTTTTTTTTTGAAATATTACAATTGTTATGATCATCGTGCCGGTGAATTATTACACAGAATTTACCTATAGCTAACCCAACGTTTTATTGAAACGTCGCATAGATGTTAATTTATAATATTGTTAAAATGTCGCTAGAAAATATGGATACAATATCACACGTACCTATGTCAGCAAAGACTTCCGATTAGCAGTTGTAGGCATATTGCTGCAACTCCAATGCGACTCAATAAAACATCGCCACAACATCGAAACGATTTGACAGTGGGATATCTTACTTACTTTTTTCATTATTGATAGGAATTGACCATACAATTATCTATAACGTGCTCGAAACCCTGTGTTGCAGTGGTGACTTGTGCCTAGGTACGTATATTGTTTTACAGACTTGCAGACTTAAATTTCTGGTCGAGCCTAGGCAATTTGGACAGCGCTCCTATTTATTTTTTTTATTAACATACATGTTTATAAGTTAACCTATTAATGTTTATAGTACCTATTACAGTTATTGTATTTGTATAAAGGCATATAATGTTTTTGTTAGGTTAATAAAATATATCTATATAGTGGTACACACAAATATTTTTGATTTTATTACACTTTCACGAAAAATAAAATGTCCACGATCTCCACGAACATATTACTATTATAATATAAGCATTATAAATAAAATATATACACCATGCCCCACAGGGGCGCATCAAGGGGGGGGAAGTAGCAGTTGCTCCATGCAGCAGGGATGGCAAAAAATGTCGTTTGTAATATAATAAAAATAAAATATTTAGTTGAATAAATATAGGTCCGTTTCGCCAGCCCCCCCAATATTGAAATCTCGGATTTTTTTTTCACTAAAAATTAGCATGCAATTAGCATGAATTGGCAAGACTATTATAATAATTTGCACGACAATATTTAATGAGAAATAATCAATAAACTTTGGGGGGGGGGCTGTTGAAACGTTTCGCCGATTTAACGAATAATTAGCACGCGATTAGCATGAATTGGCACGCCTACGCACGGAATTAGCACGCCAATATTTACCGAGCAATCCCCCTTTCTTTGTTATGACCGTTTCGCCAGCCCCCCCCATCCATGAAAAAAAAAGATTTTCCCGATTTTTTTTTAACCAATAATTAGCACGCGATTAGCATGAATTGGCACGCCTACGCACGGAATTGGCACGCCAATATTTACCGAGCAATCCCCCTTTCTTTGTTTTGACCGTTTCGCCAGCCCCCCCCCCCCCATCCTTGAAAAAAAAGATTTTCCCGAATTTTTTTTAACCAATAATTAGCACGCGATTAGCATGAATTGGCACGCCTACGCACGGAATTGGCACGCCAATATTTACCGAGCAATCCCCCTTTCTTTGTTTTGACCGTTTCGCCAGCCCCCCCCCCCCCATCCCATCCTTGAAAAAAAAAAGATTTTTTTTTACCAATAAGTAGCAAGTCTGCTTATTTTGGCTACTAATATGTATACAATTATTTTATATAATGATAAGATTAAGGTGTAAAATATTAATTAAAATTATTAATACAAAACAATAATACCTAATTATTGTATGTTTGAATCGATTAAGAATCACTTAGGTATACATTTACTACTTGCCTGTTATACTGGACCCTTTTCGTTTACAACAAAATATAGGATACGACGGGATGAGCCAACTTATATACAATCGGGAGGCAGTTTAATAAAAATTATTGAACTTTTTGACTTACAGTTGGGAGGCAACTAGTAGGTACCAGTAGTAGCACCGTACCTAGTTTAGCTTTCGATTACTTTCGTTTGCCTTAATCATAATATTATAGTTTTGACGTATCTTAGATATACGTTCAAGGTACAATTCTATATATTATTATTTTATACATCAATTACAGTTCATAACACTGTTACGTACCTACGTATTTAGTAATTAAGTAATAACAATGTACGACGTAGCGCAGGTTTCTAATAGTACTCGACGATATAATTAATAAGGCAATTAGTATATTATAACACGTTAGGGACACTGTAAAAGTATCTCTCTAGGAAAGTCAACTATTCATACGAAGGATACGAGTCGACCAGCATACCAAGTACGAGACCCGGACGCAGTCTCATGACCGAATTTGGCCATTGATACAACCACCCACTCCAAAGGACTCGATCATATAAATACCAGCCCGGGACAAGAGCTCGGCAGACGGTTAGGGATACTCAAGACATTTGGAGTCAGGTCATAACACCGCTCATATCTCCACCATAGCTTATATACATTGTAATTTTGTACTTAAATAAATACTCATAATAACCAAGTGCATCAAGTATTCATTTCCACGTTGATGTATATATCGACGTCAGTTGGGACGCAACAGAATTTTGGCGCTGTGGACAGGGTATTCCGAGATATAAGGAACATTCAACAATATTTTTCGAAATATTTTGGATCAACTTCAATCAACAGAGGCAACTTCACCTTCGTGGATCACCGTTGAGCTGAGGAGTGCACGCTTCAATTCAACGACTCTGGGAAGACCGAACGTTTGTTACAATCCAACTACGGCGAGAGAGATCAAGCAACGAGATGAATACAGCAATGTTGTAAGCATAATTTATATAACCGTCTCCTTTGGTCTATTGGTCCATCGTAATT